GACCATTACCAGCCATGACAAAAACACACAAGTACACAGACCAATGACATTATAAAGCAATTACATAAACAAGTCTGCAAAATAACCAGCTAACATCATGATAAAGGATCAAATCAACACATATCAATACTAACTTTGTAAATGGGCAAAATTTCCCAATTAAAAGGCACAGAGTGGCAAGCTGGATAAAAAACCAAGCTGTCTTCAAAAAGACCCATCTCACATGCAGTGACACACATAGGCCCAAAATAAAGGGATGGAGAAAAATCTACAAAGCAAATGGAAAATGGAAAAAAAGTAGGGCTTGCAATCCTGATTTCAGACAAAACAGATTTCAAACCAAAAAAGATTAAAAAAGACAAAGGGTATTACAGTATATATGCACCCAACACAGGAACACTCAGATTCATAAAGCAAGTTCACAGAGACTTTCAAAGAGACTTAGACTCCTACACAATAATAGAGGGAGACTTCAACACCAACACTGACAGTATTAGACAAATCATCAAGACAGAAAATTAACAAAGATATTCAGGACCTGAACTCAGCACTAGATCAAATGGACCTGATAAGACATCTACAGAACTCTCCATTCAAAAGCAACAGAATATACATTTGTCTCATTGCCACATGGCACATAATCTAAAATTGACCACACAATTGGCCCACAAAACACTCCTCAGCAAAATAACTAAAATCATACTTTCTCAGACCAAAGCGCAATCAAATTAGAAATCAAGACTAAGAAATTCACTCAAAACCATAAAATTACATGGAAATGGAATAACCTGCTCCTGAATAACTTCTGAATAAATAATGAAATTAAGGCAGGGCAGAAATCAACAAGTTCTTTGAAACTAATGAGAATAAAAATACAACAAACCAGAATCTCTGGGACACAGGTAAGGCAGTATTAAGAGGGAAATTTATAGCACTAAATGTCAAATCAAAAAGTTTGAAAGATCTCAATTTAACAACCTAGTGTCACAACCAAAAGAACTAGAAAACGAAGAGCAAACCAATCCCCAAAGTAGCAAAAGACATAAAATAACCAAAATCAGAATTGAACCAAAGGAGACTGAGACACACACACAAAAACATTTAAAATATCAATAAATCCAGGGGTTTTTTTTGAAAAAATTAATAAAATAGATAGACTGCTAGCTAGACTAATAAAGAATAAAAAGAGAAGATTCTAATAAATACAATCAGAAATGAAAAGGGGGATACTCCCTTTGACCCCACAGGGATACAAATAACCATCAGAGAATATTATGAACACGTTTTTATGCATATAAACTAGAAAATCTAGAATAAATAAATAAATTCATGGATACAAACACCCTCCCAAGAGGGAACTAGGAAGAAATAAAATCCCTAAATGGACCAGTAATAAGCTCTGAACTTGAGTCAGTAACAGCCTACCAAAAAAAAAAAAAAAAAAAAAAGGTGAGGACCAGACAGATTCACAGCCGAATTGTACCAAACGCACAAAGAAATGAGGTCAGCATCATTCTGATACCAAAACCTGGCACAGATACAACAACAAACAACAACACAAAACTTCAGACCAATATCCTTGATGAACATTGATGCAAAAATCCTCAACAAAGTACTGGTACACCAAATCCAGCAGCATATCAAAAAGCTTTTCCACCACAATCAAGTAGGCTTTATCGGTCAGCCGTGGTGGCTTACGCCTGTAATCCCAGCACTTTGGGAAGCTGAGGTGGGTGGATCACTTGATGTCAGGAGTTTGAGACCAGCCTGACAAACATGGTGAACCGCCCCCGTCTCTACTAAAAATACAAAAATCAGCCAGGCCTGTAGTCCCAGCTACTTGGGAGGCTGAGGCAGAAGAATCCTTTGGACCCAGGAGGCAGAGGTTGCAGTGTGCCAAGATCGTGCCACTCCACTCTAGCCTGATTCTATAGCTAGAAAACCCCACAGTCTCAGCCCAAAAGCTCCTTAATCTGATAACTTCAGCAAAGTCTCAGGATACAAAATCAACATGCAAAAATCACCGACATTCCTATATGCCAACAACAGTCAAGCCAAGAGCCAAATCAGGAATGCAATCCCACTCACAATTGCCCTTCTCCCCCCAGCACACAATACCTAGGAAGACAGCTAACCAGGAGGTGAAAGAGCTCTACTAGGAGAACTACAAAACACTGTTCAAAGAAATCAGAGATGACACAAATGGTAAAACATTCCACACTCATGGACAGAAAGATTCAATATCTTTAAAGCGGCCATCCTGCCCAAAGCAATTTATAGATTCAATGCTGTTCCTATTAAAATACCATTGACATTCTTCACATAACTTGAAAAAACTATTTTAAAATTCATATGGAACCAAAAAAGAGCCTGAATAGCCAAGGCAATCCTAAGCAAAAAGAACAAAGATGGAGGCGTATGCTACCTGACTTCAAGCTATACTATAGGGCTACAATAACCAAAACAGCATGGTGCTGGTACAAAAACAGACACATAGACAAGCAGAACAGAATAGAAAGCCTAGAAATAAGGCTGCATACCTACAACTATCTGATCTTCAACAAAGCTGACAAAAACAAGCAATGGAGAAAGGACTCCTTATTCAATAAATGGCACTGGACTAACTGGCTAGCCACATGCTGAACATTGAAACTGGACCTCTTCCTTATGTCACATACAAAAATCAACTCAAGGTGGATTGAAGACTTAAACATGAAACCCAAAACTATAAAACCCTGGCAGACAACCTAGGCAATACCATTCTGGACATAGGAATGGGCAAAGGTTTCATAACAAAGACACCAAAAGTAATTGTGACAAAAGCAAACATTGACAAATCAGATCTAATTAAGCTAAAGAGCTTCTGCATAGCAAAAGAAACTATCAACAGAGTAAGCAGACAACCTATTGAACTGGAGAACATTTTTGCAAATTATGCATCTGATAAAGCAACTATAAGGAACTTAAATTTATTTAAAAAAAAAAAAAACTCAAACGACCACATAAAAAAATGGACAAGGGACCTGAGTTTTCAAAGGCCAAGAATCATATGAAAAAGGCTCAGCATCACTGATTATTAGAGAAATGCAAATCAAAATCACAAGATACCATCTCGCACCAGCAAGAATAGCTATGATTAAAATGTCAAAAAATAACAGACGCTGGCAAGGCTGCAGAGAAAAAGGAATGCTTATATACCATTGATGGGAGTGTAAGTTAGTTCAACCATTGTGGAAAGCAGTCAAAGATGTAAAAACATAACTACCATGTGACTGAGCTATCCCAATACTGCATATAAACTCAAAGGAATATAAATCATTCTATCATAAAGACACATGCGCTCATAGGTTCATTGCAGCACTGTTCACAATAGCAAAGACATGGAATCAAGCTAAATCCCTATCAACGGTAGACTGGATAAAGAAAATGTGGCACATATACACGATAGAATACCATGCAGCCATTAAAAAGAATGAGATCATGTATTTTGCAGGAACATGGATGAAGCTGGAGACCATTATCCTTAGCAAACTAACCAAGCAACAGAAAACCAAATACCACATGTTCTCACTTTTAAGTGGAAGCTACAAGATGAGAACACATGGATACATAGAGGGGAACAAAACACACTGAGGCCTATCAAAGGGTGGATGGAGGGCAGGAGGAGGGAGAGGATCAGGAAAAATAACTAATGGGTACTAGGCTTAATATTTGGTAAAGAAATAATCTGTACAACAAACCTCCATGACACAAATTTACCTATATAACAAACCTGCACAGGTACCCCTGAACTTAAAATAAAATTAAAAAACAAATTAAAAAAAAACAAAACAAAATAGGCTGGGTGTGGTGGCTCAATGCCTATACTCTCAACACCTTGGAAGGCTGGAGCAGGAGGACTGCTTGAGGCCAGGAGTTTGAGACCAGCCTGGGAAACAGCAAGGCCTCTTCTCTGCAAAAAAATGTCAAAAAAATTAGGTAGGCAGGTGGCATGCACCCAGTCTCAGCTACTCAGGAGGCTGAGACAGGAGGATTACTTTATTCTAGAAGTTTGAGGCTGCACTGAACTAAGATCATGCCACAGGACTCTAACCTGGGTGACAGAGTGAGACTGTTTCAAAAAAAAAAAAAGAAAAAACCCCACAAAATAGCAGCAAGTGTTGGTGACATGTGGAGAAACTGGAACCCTTGTGCACTGTCAGGATGTAAAACAATGCAACTGCTATGGAAAATACTATGGTGTTTCTTCAAAAAGTTAAACATAGAATGACTATATGATCCAGCCATCTCACATCTCTGTATATACCCAAAAGAAGTGAAAGCAGGATCTTGAAGAGATATTTGTATGCCAATATTCATAGCAGTATTCACAATAGTTAAAAAGTAGAATTAACCTAAGTGTCCACAGATGGGTGAATAGATGAATTAAAAAATGTGGTAAATATATTAAACGGAACATTATTTAGTCTTAGAAAGGAATGAAATTCTGACCCATGCTAAAACATGGATGAGCCTTGAAGACATTATACTGAGTAAAATAAGCTACTCACAAAGGACAAATACTGTGATTACACTTAAATGAGGTATCTAGAGTAATCAAATTCATAGAGACAGAAAGTAGAATAGTGGTGGGTGCCAGAGGATGGGGAGGGGAGAATGGGGAGTTATTATTATTTTTTTAAATTGCATTTTAGGTTTTGGGGGGAGTTATTTTCAACAATTAACAACGTTTCAGTTTTGCAACATGAAAAGAGTTCTGGAGATGAATAGAGTTCTGGTGATGGTTGTACAATGATGTGAATATACTTAATGTCACCGAACCCTACACTCAGAAAATAGTTAAGATTGTCAATTTTATGTTATGTGTATTTTATCACAATTAAAAATATAAGGTTTTTAAAAAGTCAGCTGAACTTTTTAAATGGTAGCTGCAGCTAAACTTTTTAAAAGTCTGTATTTCTGCTCAAACACAAGACTTAATGATGATAAAAGAAACTTACTTGTATGCTAGAGCTCCAGCAAAGTGCTTCTGGATATATGTGTCCATCACAGGTCGAAAGTGAAAATACTTGATGTCTCGGAGCAGGTTGATGATGAACACCTGGGAGATATGGACAGCAAGTCATCAAGGTTCACTGAAGGCCTCATATCTATTCCCAGTGAGAAACAGAGTCTTCCTTCTCCAAAGCATGGCAAATTGTCAGTGTTTTTTCTAGCATTCCTTACAGGTAATGAATGTAAGATTTCCATTCTGTGTCTGTATTTCTGTCTTGTCTTTTCTCTTTCAAACACCGCAGCCTCCTAATTCAGACCTGGGCTCATCAGTCACTTTCTGTGTTTACTGTGAGCCTCTCCCTTCACAATAATGCTGGGTGGTACAATACAGATAGGGGAAAGGCAAAACAACATGTGTGTAGATGGCATAAACAATAAAGTATCCCCAAAAACTTGGAAAAGAGAGGAAAAAAAGCTTGTTCTCTGAGCCAAATCAGCCTATGAAAGGCTGTGGCCTTCAGAAATGGGGCTGGTGGACAGGGAAATTAGGAAGAAGAGCTGGAAGGGCAAACTATGCAAGTACCCATTGCAACTCTCATCTCTTCTCCCCATCTATCAGGCCAACTGGAGTATCTAACTCTCCTCGAATGTATGGCTCTCCGTGGGACTGGACATATTAAGCAAAATACACCATCTATTTTCATTGACCAGTCTTCTGAGACTGGTTCTGAAACAACTGTATAGACTCTGGAACTCTCTTCATGATGGTTATAGCCTAGTTTGCAAGAGAAAAAATGGACTATTTGATTTCTACTACTCTCTGGGTTTCTGACCTCATGGAAGTCACTATTTCAGGGGCCAGGCAATACTGCAATAGTGATGAGACTGAAGATCCAGAAACTACAAAGCCAAGGCCTGGAATTGATTATGCTATATTCTTCAAATTTGATTTGCCTGGTAGGTTGGTTGGACTTCCTGGGGCAACAACACTCAGTCCCTTTTCTATTGGAAATATCTATATCTTGTGCTGATTCACTCTAATAAATTGCTTCCCTTAAATTTTCTGAAATATATGACAGGAATAATTAATAAAAGTAAAGAGTCAGGAAAGTGACTTACCAGTGACTGAAAAACCAACAGGCCGTATTTCTCTGTATTATCATCCAAAATCACAAAGAGTGTATCTAAGATGTCCTGCAGAAACTGAAACAACAAAGAAAGCAGAGGGCTCAGGTATCAGGACCTTATATGCAGTCAAACTTCCACAAACCAATGAATTTAAATTCCAATAAAAAGGTGAAAGATCTCTCTCTTAGGACCTCAAAATACCACTTAAAAATCATCTAGTACCATGAGCCTCCACCTAGCTAAGTGATTACTAGGTGGACTTGAGGTGTTGGCTTATAGCCCAAAGGGCCCCAAGAAAGACTTCAAGCTGAGAGCCAAATCAAGAATGCAACTGCATTTACAATAGCCACACCCATAAAATACTTAGGAATACATCTAACCAAGGTGGTGAAAGGCCTCTACAAGCATAACTACAGAATACTGCTGAAGGAAATAATAAATGACACAAACAAATGGAAAAATGTTCTATGCCCATGAGTTGGAAGAATCAATATTGTTAAAATGCCTATACTGACCAAAGCAATCTACAGATTCAACATATTCCTATCAAACTACTGACATCACTTTTAACATAATTAGAAGAAACTATTCTAAAATTAATACAGAACCAAAAAAGAGCCCAAATAACCGAAGCAATCCTAGGCAAAAAGAACAAAGCTGGAGGTATCACATCACCCACTATATTACAAGGCTACATAGCAAAAATGCATCATACAGGTACAAAAACAGACACACAGACCAATGGAACACAACAGAGAGCCTCAAAATAAAATGGCCTACCTACCGCCATCTGATCTTTGACGAAGTCAACAAAAATAAGCAACAGAGACAGGATTCCGTATTCAATAGATGGTGCTGGCAGCAAAAGAGACATCAGCAGAGTAAACAGACAACCCTCAGAGTATGATAAAATATTTGAAAACCATGCATCCAACAAAGGACTAGTATCCAGAATCTATAAGGAACTCAAAAAAATCAGCAAAAATCCCAAATAATCCCATCAAAAAGTGGACAAAGGACATGAAAAGACATTTCTCAAAAAGAAGATATACAAATACATCTAACCAAGGTGGTGAACAAATAAATGTATGAAAAAAAAGTTCACCATCATTAATCATCAGGAAAATGCAAATTAAAACCACAATGAGATACGACCTTATTCCTACAAGAATGGCCGTAATTGAAGAGTCAAAACACAACAGATGTTGGTATGAATATGGTGAAAAGGGAACACTTTTGTACTGCTGGTGGGGATGTAAATTAGTACAACCACTATGGAAAACAGTATGGTGACTCCTTAAAGAACTAAAAGTAGATCTGCCATTCCAGCAATCCCACTACCAGGTATCTACCCAAAGGGAAAGAAGTCATTATATGAAAAAGATACATACACATGCATGTTTATGGCAGCATAATTAGCATTTGCAAGGATAGAGAACCAACCTAAGTGTGCCCATCAACCAACAAGTGGATAAAAACATGTGGTATATATACACACATACATACCATGGAATACTGCTCAGCCATAAAAAGGAAATACTGTCTTTTGTAGTAACTTGAGCTAGAGGCCACTATTCTTAGTGAAGTAACTCAGGAATAAAAAACCAAATACTGTATTTTCTCACTTGTAAGTGGAAGCTAAGCTATGAGGATGCAAAAACATACAAAGTGATATAATGGACTGTGGGGACCAGAGGGGGAAGGTTAGGAAGGTGGTGTGGGACAAAAGACAACATACTGGGTACAGTGTACACTGCTTGGGTGACGGGTGCACCAAAACCTCAGAATTCCCTATGAAAGAGCTCATCTATGTAACCAAAAACCACCTGCATCCCAACAACTATTAAAATTAAAAAAAAAAAACATGAAAAAGAGTGTGATAACTGGCAAAACAATAAATGATGCTGAGATAGCTAGCTAGAAGAAGTTAAGGTGAAAGTAAGAAACATTCTTCCTCAGGCAGTATGTTTACATTGTGTGGAAATGAACAATTTCCTTCCCACTGATATGCTGCAGCTAGTACATTACTCATGCTGAAGAATAAATCTGGATCCCTACTTTCACCATGAACAGAAATGAACTCAAGGCAGATTAAATATTTAAATGTAAGATCTCAAATTATAAGAATTCTAGAAGAAAACCTAGAAAACACCCTTCTGGACATTGGCCATAGGAAATAATTTATCACTAAGTCCTCAAAAGCAATTCCAACAAAAACAATTGACAAATGGAACTTAATTAAACTAAAGTTTCTGTACAGCAAAAGAAACTATCAATAGAGTAAACAGACAACCTACAGAATGGGAGAAAATATTTGCAAACTATGCATCTGACAAAGGACTAATATCCAGAATATATAAGGAACTCAACTCAACAAGCAAAAAACAATTCTATTAAAAAGTGAACAGAAGACATGAACAGACACTTCTCAAAAGAAGATATACAATAAAGTGGCCAATAAATATGTAAAAAATGCTCATTATCACTAATCATCAGTGAAATGCAAATTAAAGCCACAATGAGGTACTATCTCACACTGGTCAGAACGACTATATTAAAAAGTCAAAAAGGCTGGGCGTAGTGGCGCACGCCTGTAATCCCAGCACTTTGGGAGGCTGAGGCAGGCGGATCACTTGAGATCAGGAGTTTAAGACCAGCCTGGCCAACATGGCGAAACCCTGTCTCTAGTAAAAATACAAAAATTAGCCAGGCATGTTGGCTCACACCTGTAATCCCTGCTACTTGGGAGGCTGAGGTAGGAGAACTGCTTGAACCCAGGAAGCAGAAGTTGCAGTGAGCCGAAATTGCACCACTACACTCCAGCCCAAGTGACAGAGCAAGACTCCATCTCAAAAAACAAACAAAAAAGTCAAATAACAGATGCTGGTGAAGCTGCAGAGAAAAGGGAACTCTTACACCTTGCTGGTGGGAATGTAAATTAGTTTAGCTCCTTTAGGAAGCAGTTTGGAGATTTATTTTAAAAACTTAGAACTACCATTTGATCCAGCAATCTTATTACTATGTATGTACCTGAAAGAAAAAAAATTGTTCTATCAAAAAGACCATGCACTCATATATTCATCCCAGTACTATTCACAATAACATAAGACATGGAGTCAATCTAGCGCCCATCAATAGCAAACTGGATAAAGAAAATGTACATAGGCCGGGTGTGGTGGCTCATGCCTGTAATCCCAGCACTTTGGGAGGCTGAGGCAGGCAGATTATGAGGTCAAGAGATCGAGGCCATCCTGGCCAACATGATGAAACCCCAACTCTATTAAAAATACAAAAATTAGCCAGACGTGGTGGTACACACCTGTAGTCCTAGCTACTCAGGAGGCTGAGGAGGAGAATCGCTTGAACCCAGGAGGGGGAGGTTGTAGTGAGTGGAGATAGCACCACTGGACTCCAGCCTCGGTGACAGAGCAAGACTCCGTCTCAAAAAAAAAAAAAAAAAAAAAAAAAAAAAAGGAAAATGTGGTACATATATACCATGGAATACCATGCAGATAAAAAAGAAGAAAATCATAACTTTTGCGGTAACAGGGATGCAGCTGGAGGCCATTACAGAAACTAGCAGGAACAGAAAACCAAATACTGCATGTTCTCACTTTTATGTGGGAGCTAAACATTGGGTACTAATGGACATAAAAATGGTAACAGTAGACATTGCGGACTACTAGAGTGGGGAGGGATGGGGGCAAGGGTTGAAAAACTGTTAGGTACTATGCTCACTATTTCAGTGATGGGATTATTCATATCTCAAACCTCAGCATCATGTAATATATCTATGTAACAAACCTGCACATGTACACACTAAATCTAACATAAAAGTTGAAAATATAAAATAAAAAAAGAAAACATGGCATATATACACGATGGGATGCTATTCAGCCTTACAAAGAGAGATCCTGTCATTTGCGACAACATGGACAGAACTGGAGGACATTAAGCTAAGTGAAGTCAGTCAGGCACCGAAAGACCACACGATTATACTTATATGCTGAATATAAAAAATCGAACATATAGAAGTAGAAAATACAATGAGGAATACCAGAGGCTGAGGAAAGGTTGTGGCTAGAGAAAGGGGAGACGTTGTTCAAAGGGTACAATGTATCAGTTAGATGGGAAAAACAAAAAGCTTTAGTGATCTATTGCACAGTATGGTGATATAATAAATGCCTTGTGTATTTCAAATTGCTAAGAGTAGATTTTAAATATTTTCACCACAAAAATGATAAGAATGATAAGAACGTGAGTTGATATATTTGCTAATTAGCCTGATTCAATCATTCTGCATTGTGAACATATAGTCTACATTGTTAAAATGTCACATTGTATCCCATAAAGATAAAAAATTACTATTTGTCAGTTAAAAATAAAAGTATTCAAAAAGAGAAAAAGGAAGCTAACAACAACAACAACAACAACACTCTGATGAAACAGTCTCAGAGGGTTACTGGCAAAATTCATGATGAATGAAGTAGGGTTTTCTGCCCAGATTCTTCCTCATTCAGTATGATTAAATTATGTGGAAGACATACCTTAACAATTTCCTCCCCACTGACGTGCCGTAGCCGCCCTAGTACATCCATGATCCGGTCTGGGAAGGCCTTCCACTTCAGCAGAGCTAGGAGGTCCACTAGAAAGCAAGCCCAAAAGATGATGAACCCTGGCTACTCTTCTTTTTTTCTTTTTTTGAAACAGAGTCTCACTCTATGGCCAAGGCTGGAGTGCAGCTGTGTATTCTCGGCTCACTGCAACCTCAATCTCCCAAATTCATGTGATTCTCTTGATTCAGCCTCTTGAGTAGCTGGGATTACAGGCATGCACCATGATGTCCGGCTAATTTTTGTATTTTTAGTAGAGACGGTGTTTCACCAGGTTGGCCAGGCTGGTCTCAAACTCCTGACCTCAAGTGGTCCACCCACTTCAGCCTCCCAAAGTGCTGGGATTACAGGCATGAGCCACTGCACCTCGCCTGACCCTGGCTATTCTGAGGTCATGCAAGGTCCAGACTCTCCCAGTCAAGGACAGGTGGAATCTAGAGGGACAGAATTAGCTGCAAGCATCAACACAGACTGAGATCAAGGCCAAAGACACATCTATGATGTGTACTGTGAAGCTACTAAAACCGTGGGGAACCTTGTAGGCTGCTGTTGCTGAGTGATTCCTTCAACTTCAAATGAAAAGAAGCCCATTATTATGGCATGAAAAAGGAACGATTTCTGCCTCTCTTCACATGCACTAGTAATGTGGAGTGAACAACAGAGGAAGGTGGAGGACACCACCCTGCAGGCACTATCACCTACCATTCTGCGTGAGTTTGGTAGAGGAGAGCTGAGTGGAGATGAAGAAAGATTCTTTGGTGCTGCGCTGAAAGATGAGGCTAGAAGGGATATTAGGACAGCCATTGTAGTCCTCTTTGCAGCAGGGCAGGCCGAGGTACAGAGCATGGTTATTAAATGTGCTATTCTCATCACACTGTAGGCAAAAATGGAGAAAAAAAAGTCCCCTGAGCCATGCAACATGCAAAAACCAGGTTCTAGGGAATTTCTGGGCTGATATTTGCTCTCATCTTCCTAAGGCTGAATGTTGGGCTTCAGGTACTCTTGGAAGAGTGCTTTCTATTCAGAAACTCCCTAGAACAGCTCATGTGCCTTTTAAACAGAATATGGTAGGGCAATGTGGTTGCCACCAGATGTGCAGGTAATCTTGGGTGGCAGTTATGCTGTGACAGCTGACAGTACCATGATGTCAAACAGCAGGCCTAAGAATATACTAAACAAGACCGCAATGGCAATAAGGGGTTGGTAATGGATTTCCATCCAGTAAGTGAGAAGTAGAAAACAAAGAACTTGTTGGCATTACTTGTGGGAGGAAGGCCACTGCTCTTAGAAGACCTGCCCACAGATGTCCCAATGTCACCCACCAGTGCACTTCCCTGGGTCCTTTGGCCTGCCCAGTGAAAACCACCTAACTGAGAACCATGTGAGAGAGTGGCCTCAGTGAGGGGTGAGGGGTGGGGATGAAAGACAGCCAGGCCTCATACCTTGTACACATAAAGCTCGTGAATATCATCTGAGAGAGTGGTGCCATCGTCACGCATCAGGGGTGAGAAGGCAAAGCCAAAGAGTTTCTTTTCTCCTTTGTCCTTTGCTGCAATCAGAGCCAAGTATTAGTTGTTTCTTGCCTTCCACTCTGCTTCCTCATTGAAATTCTCCTTGTGCTTATTACCTACGCTCTTGTGTCTCACCTCTTTCATTAACTAGGTGGAAACCTGACTGCAGGAATGATAAGAAATATACCAAAATGAGCTTCTATTCATATTCACAGCATATAGGCTACCTAGACCCAAAAAGAAACTAAATTGCTGGTCTTGATGACCAGGGTCTCTTTAATAAGCAGTTTAATCATGGTACAAAGGGATATTCAAAGAAGAATGACAATGGATAATAATCTCAGACACTAGGAAGGGCCAAGACAAGACTCTATGGTTTTGAATCACTGCTTTTACCGTCCCAAAAATAGCCTCTGGTGACATCCCATCTCTGAATATCCGTTTATTCCCAACTCCTCATTTTCTTGCCCAAATAATAAGGATCCACTTAATTCTGTTCCAGAGAGGAGAGAGTTATATTAATATTCTCAAGGGAATGTGGGGGGAAATCTAACTTACTAGAACAATGTCTGAACTCGAAGCGCAGGTGGGAGCCCCGGAACCGGTCAATGGGGATGGGCAATTTGATAATTTCTCCCCAGCGAGGACTATTACTGTGGTAGAGGACAAAGGAGTGGTAGGAACTCCTATTTGGCTCTCCTGAACCTAAGCTGATGCAATCCTGGAAAAAAGAAACAAAATAAGATGTCATTTTCCTGGTAGGAATGTCTGGATTTCTGTGTCACTAGGACACTTTTCTTTCTATTGTTTAAAGGTCTAATTTTTGCACTAAGCAAAATCTATGAGATGAGAAAATGCATTTTACTTAAATTCAATACTTTTGAAGCAGTTATGTAGATGGTATATGAAATCAGCAGTCACGATTCTCCTTGTTTTCTTTGGGGTGAAAGTAACTACACGTACTCCTCAACAAAACGGGAGAGAAGCAGGGTGGTGCATTAAATCACTAAGGTAGGCTCTTCATTCTCACTAAGGAGAGAAACAACAAGCTGCATGAGAGAACTCAACTGTATGTAACATTTTACCAGATCAGAAAAAAAATTAAATTACAAAGTGGAGAGAGCCTGTTTTCTAATTGTCCTGAGTCCTACACTTGGACTGGCATTTTAGGTCACTCCTGGGTGACTTTCTTTGGATGTGAACAAGTTAGGCCAGATTTAACTTAACCCATCTCCCAAATATTGCCATGAAGATGCAGTCTCAGTACTGCTCATGCCCTTGTCTGGACAACAGGAAGCTTTGGGCCACATACTCAGGAGTAGGTCCCAGTCCACACAGGGGTGATGTGATCAGCTGACCATTCTCCTGTCACTGGCGCTCTCCTTGCAAATAGTGAACAGACTTAGGTTCTGGAGTTTTTTAAATGGCACACAAATCATTGTTTCTACTATTATTTCAACATTCTCCTCTATTTCTGTCCTGATCTGGAAAATCATTTTGACTAATTTTATCTTTTTCTGTCAAATGGGAATGATCATTCCTGTTCTATCTCACAGTGTGGCGGCCAACACACAGAAGCAAGGTTTGCACAACACTGACTTGCCTTCTACCAAGTGGGAGGCAAATGATGCTGTGTTATTCACCGCAGACTTTACCATGACATGACTGAAGAGAAAACTCATGTGCAACAGGAAAACAGCACTCCAAGTCTTCACTTTCAGTGGAGAATAACAGAGGATACTTGTACTACATTGCCTTTAATCTTCCAGGGCCTGAGTCTGCTGTTCTTTGTCCTATAACTTAGTACCAGGAAGTGACTAAGTTCCATCCTTGACCAAAGTGTAAATACAACTTTCTGTATTAGCTCAAGAATAAAAAGGCAGAATGGGACCTAACAAGTTACCAAAAGTAGGCAGCTCTATGCTAGGCGGAATGGCAGGAGAGGTAACATATAGGACGGAACTAGAGGGAATAGGTCTAAAATGGAGCAAGAGGGATTCAGGTCAGATACTAGGAAAAATTTCTGCAATGGCTGTACAACACTGGAAGTCATTATCAAAGCTCACTTTAGGGTTTCCTAAAGAAAGAAAAAGGCAAAGAAAAAGACATATGGGGTGATTTTAATCCTACTTGAAGAGAATGGGCCTCTGGATAAAGTCCACAGAGAATTATCATAGGATTATCCTCCATCCCAATTGACTGACTGGCAAGCCTTACCTTCAAGATTTCTCCATCTGCATAAAGCACATACATGGTCACTTCAATATTCTTTTGTACACTCTTTCCTCCTCTCTCGAAATCTCCCTTCTCCAGGGTTAGGTACAGGTCATTGCGGATATCACCTGCGGGGAAAGAAATGCCACATCCTTATGACTCCAGAAGCCATACTGCCCCATTTTCACAGAGAACTAGGCTAGCATTTGGATCTTCTGGGGTGGGTGGGCGCTCAGGGCATTCCAAGCTTGGTTAATAACGATGGACATTTTACCATTATCAGTGCAGCAGCACTCAGGTTGGTTAGTCATGTATTCTCTAAGTCCGAATTCTAAAGATGTTCACCACACCCTGTCAAGGGTGGGGAATCTTTCAGATTGTAGACACTCAGACTATTCAGTCTATCTCCCTCCAGGAGAATGGCTATAATCTAAGCCTCCCAAAGAGGGAAGATTCTAGAATCAACAGGAATAACATTTTAACATGCCTATGTCTTAACTACTAATCCTTCTTCTTTTCCCTCAAGAAGGGTTTCTCTTTGATAGATTTATACTTTTTATATGCCTTCTTTTTGCAATCCCCATCCTTTCTGAGTCTGACTGGAGAATACACTAATTTCCTTCCAAAGATTTGGAGACTTTGTTCCAAATCTCATTCCCTGCTGGAGTGACAGGTAGAGGTCACTGGACTACTTGTCGCTTTTTCTTCTTTTTGTTTGCAAGTGTGCTGGGAGATCACTTTTCAGAAGCATAGGTAGTAAGGCAATGAGGCAACATGTTGTGCTCTTTTGCTTCCCTGTGCTCTGACTCCAGCCCATTTTGCCTATCTCTGTTGTTCAACACTAGGGAGGAGAAGCTCAAACTTCAAGTCTAAAATGACCCAAGTTACATCTGCCTTTTTAGGGTGATGGTCGAGGGGAGACAGTGTTGCCTGTTCATGTATAAGGGTGTATTTAGGCTGCTCTAAGATCCTAAATCTTTAAAATAACCGGTTTTATTCACATGAACAAAAGAAGGGCTTTTGACTTTCAAAAAAAAAATAGTAAAAGCTGTGGGAGCAACAAACTTCAAAAGAAGAAAATGGCAAAGGAAAATAGGAAAGACCAAAGTGAAAATGTGTTAGCAGCCTAAAGAAACCAAATGAAAAATAATGAAACAACTTGCAAAACATGCCAGTTCAGAAACCAGGTGTTTTTTCTACTTCAGTTCTTTGAAAAACTGGTACATTTAAATATGTTATTATTTGGAATCACAATGATAGAGGCAGGGTTTGCTTTTGGTTAGCATGTGGGCTTTCTGGTTTGGTCAGAGATAAATGACAATGCTCTCTTTTTTGCACTGACTACCTCTCTAATAATGGAAGCATCTGAGTTTCTCTCATGCATGAAACAGGAATAGACCAGGACTAGCACATGTTTGAGGATTTCAGGGGTCTTTGTGACTAGTCCTTCCATTATTCAGGTCATTTTCCTAACCGGGGTACAACGTCTTGAAATCATGGTTATTTGGCTGCATAATGAAGGTTCTTAAAATACTATGGCTAAAGTGGGGAAGAAAAGTCATGACAAGCAATTAACCATTCCTCGAGAGCCCTGAGATCTTTCCCTAATGTGTGAAAGCCATCTTCTTTCCCAAACAAGCAACCTTGATGTTACCATGAAGGAAGAAGAAAATGTATCTTGAAAATCATATCAAAATGCCACTGTTGCATATGTGGGATAGCCTGGAGGACCACATCTACACAGACCCTTGGGTTAGGAAGTGCCGCTGCTTTGAATTCTAATGAGTCTAGAATCTTAGTCCACTTCCTTTGGACGTTGCTGCTTGGGGCCTCCTAGTATACTATTTAGAGTGCTCAGGTGTACAGGGTAGGTTTGGGTGGGGAAGACAGGTAGAACAAGAAAGGAAGCTCAAATTTATCAGTTTGCTACTGTCAGGACAGAGGCTGAATAAAGTCAGTCCTGAAAGTAACATCCAAACTTAACTGAGAACTTTACTATGGCTCATTGCTATTTTTCTTCATTTTAACTTTCTCCTTTAAAGTCAGGTTATTGCTATTACAGTGGGATAAATCAGAGTTAGCTATACCTGAATTTTAAACAATTGAAACAGGCTTCTTAGAAAAGTCTTAATTGCACATTAGTTTTTCTATGGAATTTAAGTAATACTTAAATTTAAATTAGCACAAAGTGAATAGTCTAGAATTTTTAAATTAATTTTTAAATTTTTATTTTTATCCTTTTCTGAGTCAAATAGTTTAGAAAATTTTATTTTTTTAAATTTTTATTTATTGATTTATCCCATTTATTTATTTTATTGCATTTTAGGTTTTGGGGTACATGCGAAGAACATGCAAAATTGTTGCATAGGAACACACGTGGCAGTGTGATTTGCTGCCTTCCTCCCCATCACCTACCTCTGGCATTTCTCCCCTTGCTATCTCTCCCCAGCTCCCCACCCCCCACCGTCCCTCCCCTATTTCCCCCCAACTGACCCCAGTGTGTAGTGCTCCCCTCCCTGTGTCTATGTGTTCTCATTGTTCAACACCCACCTATGAGTGAGAACATGCGGTGTTTGATCTTCTGCTCTTCTGTCAGTTTGCTGAGAATGATGGTTTCCAGGTTCATCCATGTCCCTACAAAGGACCCAAACTCATCGTTTTTGATGGCTGCGTAATATTCCATGGTGTGTATGTGCCACATTTTCCCTATCCAGTCTATCGTCGATGGGCATTTGGGTTGGTTCCAGGTCTTTGCTATTGTAAACAGTGCTGCAATGAACATTCGTGTGCACGTGTCCTTATAGTAGAATGATTTGTAATCCTTTGGATATATACCCAGTAATGGGATTGCTGGGTCAAATGGAATTTCTATTTCTAGGTCCTTGAGGAATCGCCACACTGTCTTCCACAATGGTTGAACTAATTTACACCCCCACCAACAGTGTAAAAGTGTTTCTATTTCTCCACATCCTCTCCAGCATCTGTTGTCTCCAGATTTTTTAATGATCGCCATTCTAACTGGCGTGAGATGGTATCTCAATGTTGTTTTGATTTGCATTTCTCTGATGACCAGTGATGATGAGCATTTTTTCCTATGTTTGTTGGCCTCGTGTATATCTTCTTTTGTAAAGTGTCTGTTCATATCCTTTGCCCACTTTTGAATGCGCTTGTTAGTTTTTTTCTTGTAAATCTGTTTTAGTTCTTTGTAAATTCTGGATATCAGCCCTTTGTCAGATGGGTAAACTGCAAAAATTTTTTCCCATTCTGTTGGTTGCCGATTCACTCTAATGATTGTTTCTTTTGCTGTGCAGAAGCTGTGGAGTTTGATTAGGTCCCATTTGTCTATTTTGGCTTTTGTTTGCTTAATCTAAGAATAGGTGCTTGGCCGCATGTTCTCACTCATAGGCGGGCGTTGAACAATGAGGGCACATGGGCACAGGGAGGGAAACATCACACACTGAGGTCTGTTGGGGGGTGGGGGACTAGGGGAGGGACAGTGGGGGCTGGGGAGGGATAACATTGGGAGAAATGCCTGATGTAGGTGACAGGGGCACGGAGATAGCAAACCACCATGGCATGCGTGTACCTATAAACAGTCCTGCAAGATCTGCACGTGTACCCCAGAACTTAAAGTATTAAAAAAAAATCTCAATCAAATAAATGGTTACAATTTCTGTTTAAGAAAGAAAAAAAAAAGAATAGGTGCCTGGTTTAAATATCACCCTGGTTTGAACTCTCTGGAAGTCATTCTCAAAATAATCTATGTGGCTTTTTAAAAGCAGTTACCTATTGGCTACCAGGAACATTATTCTAGGCTGTACAAACATTTTTAATCCCTGTGGCTCTATATACAGGTTAACCAATAACATGTCCTTCAAATGAAACATTTTCAAATTTTCCTAGTTTTATATGTATATAGAATACTAATAGAAAACTAGGAGCTGGGCATGGTAGCTCATCTCTGTAATCCCTGCTTTGGATTATAAAGAGGCTGAAGTGGGGAGACTGTTTGAGGCTAAGAGTTCTAGACTAGCTGGGCAACACAGCGAGGCTCTACAAAAAAAATTTTATTTTTAATTAGCTAAACATGGCAGTGTGCACCTATAGTCCTAGCTAGTCAGGAAGCTAAGAAGGGAGTATTGCTTGAGCCCAGGAGTTTGAGGCTGCAATGAGTTATGATCCTGCCAGTGTACTTAAATCTAGCTGACAGAGCGAGACACTTTTAAAAATAAACAAATAAAATTAGACAATGTCTTGGAGGTTATTAATGAAAGAATTTGATCTGTGTTGATTATACAGAGTATGCTCACGGTTTCTGGGCAGGGCATTTTAAGGTAAAATGCCAGTTTCAAAATGGAAGGATTAAGTTATATATTCCTATAGTTTTCATTTTTTAAAAAAACAGAATGCCCTTGGTGGTCATCTAGCTGAGAAAATTTATCAACACAAGTAATTGTACCCTCTGAGTTACAGACTGCAGTAGTTTATTTTCATCAGGTCTTTAGCTGCTCTTTATTTGGAGAACAGACCTGCCTAGACTATTCTAGAACTACTCTCAGCCAGGTTAGGTATTAGGTTATTGGGCTTATGGGTTGCAATTATGCAATTATGGTTTCAATTTCAAGAATGGCAATTTGTGAAAATTAATGTTGCTGAGAGGGAGAGGCTTCCTGTCAAAATCTCTCTGGGGGATCATTTCAATCAAGCTCTCTACTAATTCTCTTGGAACTAGAAGAAAACATAAGCGGAAGCAACTGTGAAAAGCTTCAGGGATCTAATGACCCAGGCCTACCTGTCTGCCTGCCTTACAGATAGCCTTCCATAGTTCCCCGGCTCTTTAGCTGTCCCTATTGCATGTTATAAGTTCATAAAACCTATCAGTCGGATCATGCCTTTGGGTTAAGGCTCTGTTTCCGAGAGGCTCCTGTAAACTTTGGCACCAACTTCCAGGAAATATTATCAGGAGAGAGAGGCATGAGGGCAGGCACATTACAATGAAGATGAGAAAGAGAAAGCTGGAGCAGTGGTTTTGGATGTTAGTTTGCAGACCACAGTCTGGCTGGTTGTATTCGAACCACCTGGGGAACTAGTTGAAAACAGATTTCTAGCATTCACACCTTGAGATTCC